GGTACAAACCAGCGACCAGAAGTGGCCGTCCAACAACAACAACAACGTCTCGGTGGCGCAATCGGTGGCGCGTGAGTCTCATAATCTCAAGGTCGCGAGTTCGATCCTCGCCCGAGGCAGTACTTTTTACCAATCCTATCTTCGATAGGAGTTTTGTTTGCTTTGATGCCTTTCGAGTGGGAGACGTTGCGCGTGCCTCAATCGACAAATAAAATTTTTAGGTATGAATTTTACACACAGAGACCGTACCGACATCGCATCACCTTACACGATGCGGCCAGGAAAGATCAAGATGGAGCCTGAGCATTTTACTCAGCCTTCTCCTCGGTCTTGGCGTCGTCCTTCGTCTCCTGGGGCTTGGCGTCGTCCTTCTCCTCCTCGGGCTTGGCGTCGTCCTTCTTCTCGTCGTCAGACGCGTCATCGGACTCCTCGTCGGAAGCCTCCTCCTCCTTGGCGGCGGTGGCGGCGGCGCTGGTGCCGTCGATCTTGGCGTTGGAGAGTTGGGCGGCCTCGAACTCGGCCTTGAACTTCTCCGCGTTCTCGGGGTTGCCGAAGCGGATAGCCAGGAGCTCCGGGCGAGACTCGCCTTCGCTGAAGTCGGCGGTGCAGGACCAGACCCAGGATCGGTCGGAGCCGACGTTGGGCTGGAGCTTCATGTCGGGGGTGAGATACTGGTTGGCGCAGATCTTGTGGGTCTTGTCGCGGCGCATGAGCAGACGGATGCGGCCAGTGGTCTTGTGCTTCAGCAGCTTGGCGTCGCCGGTGCCGCGCTCCTTCCATGCGGGCTCTTCCTTGTCGAAGCGGAACAGACGCGCGCGCATCTTGAAGATGACGTCCTCCTCTTCCTCCATGGTCTCGATCTTCTCCAGCGTCTCGAGCTTCATGACCGGCTCGAAGTGGATCTCGGCCGAGGGCTCAACCTCATCGGCCTCCTCGGCGGCGGCCTCGGGGTTGGTGGGCTGTACCATGGCCACGCGAGACGTCGTTGTGCGACAACAGGCACAGGGGAATGCGAGAGTCAGAGAGATCCCGATCCCGAGAGAGGGGTGGGAGAAAGAGAAAGGAACCGATGGCGATGATCACCCGACCATACGCCGAGCCGTACCATGTGGTATCACATGTCAACAGACGAGAAAGGAAAGGATGCATTGCGGGTGAGTCGCTGCGGTGACTTTGATCCATGCGCTTGTAGGGAGCCGTGCATGGCGTTGCGAAAGCGCCATGCGCGTGCGAGTGAGGCCAGATAGCACCGGTTCGGCGGCAGGAGCATCCGCCACGGCTACGGCGGGAAGGAAACTGGACAGCGGCATTGGCTGAGGCTGGATGTCGTTCCATGCCACGTGGGATGGCGCGGCCGATGGGTCGTGCTGTGGGCCAGAGTACCGTGTCCGCCCGGCTCGACGACGTTGGGCGCGAACGTGAAGCACCGGCTCATGAGCACGGAGACGCATGCGGCCGGAGCCACTCGGGCGTCGACAGGCATCGCGTCCCTGTGAGGCGCAGCCTCGGGAATCTTAGAGGCGCATGCGCGGGTCGCCACACGCGGGCGTCACACTGTTGCGGTAGACGGCCGGCGTAGCCGCGCGGCGCGTGCTGCATGTGCTCGCGCTCATGTGCCTGGGTATGCCCCCATGCGTGCTATCGCTACCGCTACCGCTACCGCTTTCGCAATCGCGTCAGGGCCAATGTACCTTCTCGGTGGTGGGCGTGGTGTCAGACATCGTGGCGAGATGAAAGGGTGGAACGGGTTCGAAAAAAGAAAGGAAACAGCACCAAACGACAGGGAGATTGGTCGGCGAGCAAGACAATGTCCAAAAACGGTGCGTGTGAGGGCAGCACGCGACCACGGAGCGGGACTCGGGCGTCGCATGCACCCCTCAGCGTACCGCGGCGGGACGCGTCAGCTTCAGCGCCGCCTGCTGAAAGGGCCATCGGGAGCTCCTGTATGAATCACGACCATCGCGTGTCAGGCCGTGCTGAGGCGACGCGGCCAGTGGTGGCGGGCAGCGTCTCTGTCGCGCTGCCAGCGGCGTGGCGCTCGAACGGGCGACTCGGCCCCGCGCGACCCGTCCGCGCCGGCACTTCCCACTTTCCCGGGGCAGCCGCACGTCTTGGCGGCTTTCCAGGGGCCAAGCCCGCTACGGCAGAGCGGCAAGCATGGCCTGCATGGCCACCGAAAGCCAGCGAACGGCGGTGCGGTTCGCTGTTCGCCGCTGCCGATCGCGGCCGCCCCGCTGCCGTCGCCATCGACCACGGCTGTCGCCATCGGGCCGGGTCGATGGGTGGCCTCGGCCTCTCGTCGTGCGGCCCTCCCACTCGATCATGCACGAGCGACCTCCACATCTGGAGTCCCATGGCATGGCTGGGATTCGTCATCGCGCATTAAATGCGCGCGGTGTGGTTCGCTGCTGGTGCTCTATCGCGTCACAAGGGTCCGAGAGTTCGGCATGGCCGACTCAGGGGCGATGGGGTGCACGGGGCCGTCAGCTGGTCATGTCGTAGGAAGCCGTCGCCACGTCCGTGCAAGACCCCATCGATCGAGGCAGGCTTCGACCGTCTCCATGAGATGCGGGTCGCCTCGTCTTTCAGCAGGCGGCCATCGACGCCGTCGTGAAGGCAACGCCGTATTTGGGTGGGTGGTGGCGGTCGCCGTGGGGTCCATGATGCCACGTGACCATACGGGCGGCCACGTCGACACGACGCTGGTATCGTGACCCATGCTCGTCACGGCCTACGCCCCACGTCTCATGAATTCCCTGCGATTGCATGGATAGGATTCTATTGCTCACGGGAAACTCCGCCCTCGCTCAGGTCTCATTTTCTATGGAGAGGCACGCATTGAAATTTCTATATACACGAGTGAAGCAATCGGCGTGATGAGCGCGATGGGCGCAGGTCGGACGGTCAACGCCAAAGCAACGACCTCGCCTCACCTCGCGCCCCACGAAAGGATGACCTCAGGAGAGCCGCGCACGGCAGTGGCGGCAGCAGGGGCGCGGCTGGGACAGCGGTGGATGAGCGGCGCTTACTCGTCGCGCATGCGGCGGACACGGCTGTATTCGCGCTCGGCGCGCTCAAACTCAGGGTCCTTGGCCTGGTTCAGCGTGGGCTGGATGCGGTGGACGGCGGCCTGGGCGGCGCTGCCGGCAGCCTGAGCGGCATTGCCGGCGGCTTGGGCGGCGTGGGAGGCCGCCGTGCCGGCGGCGTGGGCGGCGTCCGAGGCGGCGTGGCCGGCCATGTGCATGGCGTCCTGGGCTTCCGACTGGGCGACGCGGGCCTCGACTTCGGCACGGGCCGCCTCCACCTCGTAGTCTTGGGGCACGGTGCTGTTGCTCATGGCGGCGTTGTTAGCGTTGTTGTTGCGGTTGCGGTTGGGCATGATAGCTGTTTGATTTGTGGTCAGGTAGAGAGCGGAAGATCGTCAAGATCGATGCCGATCCGTGATGGTGTATGAGAACAATAGGGAGAACAGAATGGAAGAGAGAGCGAGGGTGGGCGCGATGAGGAGTTGGTGAGACAAGACGGCATCCAGGCATCCAGGCGCGCCACTGCCGAGGCCATGAAGTCGATCCCACCGTGACGATGTTCCCAGGGATGGTTGGGCCTTTTATACTTGACCACTTTGACAGTCGACCGACATGGGCGTGTCATGTGCCCGTTCCCTCTTCGCGGTGCCGCGGCGCGGGGGAAATAGGGGGGGGCCGCGGGCGGGGCCATGGGCGGGGCAGTCGGTTGCCGTGTGGCAGGCTTCGCAGAGCCTTGACCAATGACGGCATACTTGACGTCATTGACCGGCCGACCAGCCGCGGCTTCCCCCGGGCGCCACGCGCAGCCGCTGATACGGCGAAGCGGTCCTGGGATGGCGGTACCCCCGGGAATGATGATGAGCACGAAGCGATGTGCGACCGCAGCGCTAAGCATGTGGCGCCACCAGCGCTTGGCATCCGACATCCGGCATCCGGCATCCGGCACATGGCAGACGGCAGACGGCACACGGCACACGGCACGTCGTATCCAGCACCTCGCATGGATCTTATGAGCACCGACAGCCGCAATCAGTGCCCGGGAGGGCGAGCAGCCATCAGCATGATGATGGACGGGTGCCGGCCATTCAGTTGCGCTCGCTGGAGCGGTAGCGCGGCAGCTCGCGGGATGATCCGCATCGCCTGGCGAAAGCGATGGGGGAAGGCCGTGGTCACGACCTGGAGGAGTCACGCGGCCACACGGGTCTCACCGACGCTGTGTGACGAGACAGGGGCGAGACAGCAGACGCCTTCGCGGTCGTGCCGTCCCGGTCGAGCGCATGGCTGGGCCTTGCGAATCGATGATCAGGATCGCACCTGTTCTTCCGCGAGGAAGCTCCACAGGAGGATGGCCCTCGCGTCGGGTATGACCCGACCCAGGACCTCAGTCGCCAGAAGCAGGGCCGCGATGGGCAGGGCCGTCGCGTGGGGATGCGTGGTGGAGCGAGGGGGTGACGGTGCCGTGCACCGCTTCATACCGCCGCGGCATCCGTGGCGGTGGGCCCGAGCTTGGACGCCGAAGCTCCTGGCGGTCGCTGGTGTGGCGCTGGTGTGGCGTTTCTCGTGGGTCCCCGTGCCGCGCCGTCGTGGCTGCGCCACCGCTCGCATCGTCTCGCGCCCGCCGCCTTCGCTGGCGTATGGTGGAGCACGCGCGGGCCTTCCCGGGCCGCAGAGAGCCCACGCGTCCCGATCCGCCGGCGTCCGGACCGGTTCGCTCGGCTGACGGCTCCAGGAGCCGCGTCGGGCGTCGCGCCAGGACCGGGACCCGCGTCACGGCAGGCACGTGGCAGCGCAAGGCCCCTGCCTTCGACTGGGCCGCAGGTCTTTGTCGGAAACGGCCACGAGGGCGGTCTCTCCACGAGCCACCGAGGAAGGCGGGCCGGCCCTCGTCGGCGTGGACGGAGGACCGGGTAGCCGCGGTATCGGCGATATCGCCGCAGGATGGGTGATCGTCTTGGCTGCCCGAGTGCATCTTCATCACGGCGTGTCGCTTCTGCGCTCTTCGACGCTTCAACTCGCTGGCCACGAACACGGCCACGATACCAGCACGGACACGCCCAGTGACCCCACGCGCCACCACCGCATCGTCGCCCACC